TCACAACCATCACATCCAACCTCTAGGTGGCCATTAAATATTAATAAATATTAGTAGATTAGAAAATTTTAAAAAATAGTAATGGGAAAATTAGAGTTAGATAACTTTACTTTGGGTTTTTCCAAGGGAATTACTTTATAACTTAGTCAAATTCCCTGGCAGGAAAGGTGGTCAAATTAGGAGAACAAAACCCATAAGTTACTAAGACTTCTTGGTTCAAATTATGAAGTGGTCCTTTAATTACCTCTCTTCTCCTATTCTATTCCCACTATGCTACTTTGATTTCTACTTTTAATATAGCTACATTACTGCGGAAGTTCCCAAAAAGCTATGTTTAGCATGTCTTTTTCTTTCATAAGGACCTTACTGGTATACCAGTGCCCAGATAATAAAGTTAATACTTTCTGAACACTATATACTTGTTAGCCATTATTGCCCTCAGGATAAAGTCCAAATTCCTAAGCATGGCTTCAAAATGCCCTTCACATCCTCATTTTATGTCTTATCTCTCCCCAACATCCTTCATATGTTGTTTTCCAGGGACAAAGGACAACTTTGTGTTTCCCAAGCATTCCATGCTTCTGTGCCTTCACCTCAATTGCTGCCTCCCCTTTTTCCACTTGGAAAAATTCTTCTCATCTTTCAAGGCATAGCTTGAATGTCTCCTTAGGAAGTCTCCACCAATAATCCATCTCTATCAGGAACAGATGATCCCTCAGTGCTTGATTTACACTGCTAATGCATTAGTATACCCAAGTGGAACACATGAGATGGCAGGGATATTTCCTTAATCATTTTTGTCTCCCCAGTGCCCAGCAGACAGAAAGTATTCAGTGAATGTTTAATGAAGGAATGAATTAATGAATATAGTTTATCAGGCTTCCATTTAAAAAAAAAAAAAAAGATACTAATGATACCAGGTTAGGAATTCCCTCTCTCCTATACACTTCTCAGTACTTTTCTCTTTTCTTTTTTTCTTTTTTTTGAGACAAGAGTCTCACTTTGTCACCCTGGGTAGAGTGAGTCGCGCCATCATAGCTCACTGTAACCTCAAACTCTTGGACTCAAGTGATCCTCATGCCTCAGCCTCTGGAGTAGCAGGGGCTAAAGATGTGCACCACCTCGCCCAGCTAATTTTTCCTATTTTTAGTAGAGATGGGGTCTCGCTCTTGCTCAGGCTGGTCTTGAACTCCTGACCTCAAGTCGTCTCCCACCTCAGCCTCCTAGAGTGTTAGGATTACAGGCGTGAGCCACCGTGCTCTGCCATTTTCATTGGTTCTTTACAAACAGGGGAAAGATCCCACTTCAATCATTTGCCTGTCTCTGCTACTCTAGATTTAAGTTATCCTGAAATCTGACTTCAGCTGTTTTGGGTAGATGGTTGATAAAAACACTTTGTAAAATGAATCCCAAACAAATAGACATATCTCTGGGAATAAGATTGGAAATACAAAGAGCAAGGAGGTAGTTTATTGAATGTCAAATATAATACAGTCTGGCTAAGGCAGATGGAACCTAAAACTTTAAAACACAACGGACAAAATTAGGTGACAGGCATATTGACAGAGCCATAAATTCACATCCAGAAAGGATCATAGGAATTGTAAACAGAGAAAGGCCTTCTAAGTCTTTCATCAATTTAGTCACCACGGCAATCCTGCAGAAGTGGAGAGACAATACTTATGACAACTCAGGTACAGAATGGGCAGTCATCTCAAAGGTTTCTTGGTGACTCCAAGGGGCTTCAGGCCTGGAGGGATTTGCTCTGTACAGAGGATGGAGAGTAGAAGACAAGCCTTCTGTACCTGTAGTCCCCATAGCAATGCTAAGATTTAGAAGATTTTAAAACTGGATACCACCCAGTGTTGGCAAAGGTACAGGAAAATGGGAACTATCAAATACCACAGGGGCTGGAGGAGCACAAATTGGTTTAATCTTTCTAAAGAACAATTTAACAGTATGTATCAAAGACCAAAATTTCCAGTCCTAGGAATTTACACTAAGGAAATCATCAGAGATGTGGACAAATGTTTAGCTACCAGGATGTCTACTACAGTGCCGTACATAATAGCACATTGTGCCTCTAACCGTGAACCCTCAACATTTAGCAATAGGTTGAATAAATCATGATACACCCAAAGGATAGCATGCTGTATAGTAATTAAAAATAAAGTCACTGAAGAATTTTAATGACACAGTAAAAACTAGATTACAATGTATGTATATTATCTGAATTGTTTTTTCTTGAGACAGGGTCTCGCTGTGTTGCCCAGACTGGAGTATAGTATTGTGATTACAGCTCACTGCAGCCTTGAACTCCTGGGCTCAAGTGATACTCTTGCCTCAGCCTCCTGAATAGGTGGGACTACAGGTGCTCGCCCCCCACACCTGGCCAATTTTAAACATTTTTTTTTGTAGAGATGGGGTCTCGCTATAGTCCAGGCTGGTCTCGAACTCCTGGCCTCAATCGATCCTCCTACCTTGCTCCCAAAATGCTAGGATTACAGGTGTGAGCCACTGCACACAGCCAATCTAAATATTTTTTTAAAGATACGGTATACACAAGCACCCCTGTGCACACACAGGAAGAAGACTGAAAGGATATACACCAGTAAGTTAATAATAACCATTTCTGGATAACTTAAAGTATTAATTTACCATTTTAACAAATTTTAAGCATACAGTTCAGTGGCATTAAGTACTTTCACACTGTTGTGTAACCATCACCACTACTCATCACCAGAACTTTTTCATCATCCAAACTGAAATCTGTATTCATCAAACAATAACTCCCCATTCTTCCCTCCCCAAGTCTCTGCTAACCACTATGTTACCTTCTGTCTGTATGAATTTGACTATTCTAGGTACCTCATATAAGTAGAATCATATAACATTTGTCCTTTGATGTCTGACTTATTTCACTTCACATGTTTTCAAGGTTCATCCATGGATGATTTTTGTTTATTTGTATTTTCTAAGTTTTCTACTATACACATGTATATCTATCTTTGTAAGAATATTAGACTTTTCTCAATTTCATCTATCTGGCTCTTTAGGAAGTTTGGAAAAAAATGTCATTCACTTGATGGCAGCTAAAAGTGTATATAAGATGTCGGTGAGAAAAATAAGTCATGATAGGATGATTCGAGGGAGTCCAGATTGCTCCATTTTAAGAATGTGCTTGAGGTGGGCATAGTTGCTCACACCTGTAATCCTAGTACTCTGGGAGGCTGAGGCAGGAGGATTGCTTGAGCTCAGGAGTTCGAGACCAGCCTGAGCAAGAGTCAGACCCCATCTTTACTAAAAAATAGAAAAATTAACCGGGCGCAGTGGTGTGTGCCTGTATTCCCAGCTACTCGGGAGGCTGAGGCAGGAGGATCACTGGAGCTCAGGAGTTTGAGGTTGCACAGAGCCATGATGATACCACTGAACTCTACCCAGGATGACAGAGTGAGACTCTGTCTTAAAAAAAAAAAAAAAAAAAGAATGTGCCTATTATAGTTCAGAAAAGGTAAGCAAATTGCTTAAGGTCACACAGTCAGGTATAGAACTCTCACCAATTACTGCCAGCAATTGCTGTGTGTGAATTCCGCATAGGACCCTGTGCTAGGAATACAGAGGCAACTGTAAGATGTTGTCAATCTAGTGGTAGACAAATGCATAAAAAAAATAAGCTGAGGTGAGTCTGAAATTTTGAATATGAAGATGTGGAAAATTTTGGTGCCCCTTTTACAAAATAAAAATTAGGAGACAGAACCAGGTTCTATGAGGAAGATGTTAACTTTTAGATGTTGTGAATGCTTTTTAGAATGCTTTTTCCAGGAGACTATTCTACTTCGAGTACAGAAACATTCATGCTACCCAATGCTATAGACATGATAAAGCTGTTATCTGCTTCATAAGTAACCAAATTATTGGCTTTCACTACTAGGTCCAAGAAGTAAAATTGTGTACTTTCTTTTTTAAAGAAAAAAGATGACTTATAGGCAGTAAAGAATAAACAACTAGTAGATTAAAAAGAAAAAAGACAGAAGTATCCACAAAACAGTGAAAGGCTAGATGGTTTCTAACAGGAAGAGAACTTTATAGCCTCTCATTTGGTACCAAGAAGGAAACATACCCCTCTCTTGATACAATAGTGCTTTCATATATGTTTTTTCTATAGGGCAAAGGGGTTTGAAGGTTTAGCTTATTCATTAAATTCAGTATTTAGTGCTCTGTAGTGAGCTAGATGCTGTGTGTATATGAAATAAAAGGTAGTATGCATTCCATCGAGGTGCTTATAATTGAATTTGACACCACACACAATTGTTATGCAATTAATGCAAAGGGATGATGTCAGCAAATGTAAAAATGTAGGATATACACCACTGAAAGCAAAGGACACCACGCACACATCCACATGTGCTTTTTACCTGAGTGGTTAAAATATCGCTCTGAGAGGACAGTCCTGAACAGTCTTCAGAGAAGCTTGTTTCACTCTGATACCCAGATGCTGCTTCACCTTGGATGATAATAAAAACAGAGGTTCAGATGTAAAAACAGACTATAAACACTACAACTGGTTGCATCTTTCTCTTCCCATTGGAAGAACTGGTTTTACTTTCATGTCACACAAAATGATTAAACTCCTTGCTTTGGGACACTGGGATTTCCTCTTAGAAAATGAAAACTAGAAGTCAGTCCACCAATTATTAGGACTTTAAATCTCATTAAATCAGAGATGACATTCTAGCTGGATGAAAAACTTTTGACTCTTAAAGAAAAGCACCTTAGGAGGAATATGTTTCAAGTTTAAGAAGCAGTTACTTTAACTATACTTGGAAACTTGTAAAATGTGCTCCACAAAAGGCATAAACATTTAGCTCATTGCTATAAACAGACTGGGGCAAACACAAAAACCTGGTTCCAATACCTAAGTGTGAATCCACACTTTGCTCTTCTTGATGATTATCTTCTTCCAGGCTAGTTTCCCTTTCTTCATCATCTGAAACCAACTCCTTGTCACTCAGAACAACTTCCTGGTTTTCATACTGATCCCTCATTTGTTTGGAAGGAGAATCAAACATCAGGAAGGGATCCTGGGTGTTTCTATTTGCAGTCAAGTCTTCCAGTGGACTGCACTGTGAAGAAAACAAGCTACCAGAACATTTTGCTTCCTCACTAAAGTGATGTTCCTGGGATGCCTTTGCCAACATTACCTGGTTACTGCAGTCATTTAAGCTATTCTTCAAAGATACTAGGTTCTCCTTTGTTTTCTTAGACAGACACTCAGTGGCAACAGTGCTTTGTCTGATAGATTGAGAAGGCATACTGGTTACTTTACCAAATAATAAGTGTTGGAAGCAGGGAAGTTCTTCATCCTCACTAGATATGTTCTCTTCTGAGGACTCTAATTTCCTAGCCTCTCTTCGATGAGCCTGAGCCAAACATGTATGGGCTAAAGGGCTAGGGCTCCTGCTGAACTCTCCTCTCTGGACATTTTTGCTAAAAATAGCAGATCTTTCCTTAATGCCACTTGCAGCAAAGCTGATATTTTCCTTTATTTCATCATCATCTAAGAGGTCATCAGGTGTCTCAGAACAAACCTGAGAAGCATGACTACTTCCCATAGGCTGCTCTAGGTTATCTGAAATTAGGCATGGAGAAAAATCTGTATTAACGGTCTGAACTACCCCTTCATTTTCTTCTTGCCTTTTTATTTCAGGATGTTTACAATTACTTACAGGAAGACTTTGCTTATAGACTTCAGGTTGCATAAGACCTAATCTAAGCACAGCATTCAATCTAGGTCCTCTGTTTTTACCTAGTTCTGCTTGAATGTTTTCGCCACTGGAACCTACTTCATTAACACTGGAGCCTGCTTCATTAGTACTAGGACCCATTTCATTAATACTACTTGAGCTGGCTTCTTTAAAAGCACTTTCTCTGTTATTTTGGCTAATTGTACTCACTGTATTTGGAATGATGTTCTCACTTCCTAATGCTCTTTCAGGTGACACTGAATGTTCTTCAAACCTTTTCTCTGACAGATTTGTCTTACATTTAGTTTTAATAAATGGCCTGATGGGAGAAAGTGATGGTATATGATAGGGGTTTTGTAAAATGTCATGTTTATTATTTACAGTAATGAGTTCATTTTCATTGCCTCTGAACCGAGATGACAGACAAAACCTAGAGACTTCTCTAACGCTATATTTGGCATAATCATCTGGCTTCTTATGTTTCTGACAAACTACAGAAAAGCCTGCAGTAGTACTAATTGTCTGTTCATGCTTGATTTTAGATTGTTTCTTATCTTGATTTTCTTTTTGTTCACATTCAAGAGTGACTTTTGGACTTTGTTTCCTTAAAGACCTAGAGTGGGCACAGACTGTTGCACATTCCTTTTCTGGATTTCCTGGATTTGGAAACAGAGCAAATGACTGACGCTTTGAAACCTTGAATGTATCCTGTAAATACTGAGTATAAAGTTCACTGTCTTCCATTTCCATGCTTGGCTCCTGAATGTGGTTAACTTTATGTCTCAATGGATCCTTAAAGCCCTCTGTGTCATTTCTAGTATCTTTAGAACAACCATGGATTAGTTCCTTGGGGTTTTCAATGGCTGCACACTGGCTCACACGTTTTGGTGCTATTTTTGCCTTCCCTAGGGTGTTAACTTCCAGTAATGAGACACTGTTCTGAGTACCATAATCAGTATCAGGTACTAGTGAAATACTGGTACTCTCTACAGATCTTTCTCCACTTTCAGTTTGGAAAACCCTTTCTCCACTTGACACCAGATCTTTGGGGTCTTTGATGCTATCAGATGCCAGAATTGTTTCTGAGTTCTCTTCTGTTTTTTCTATTTGAAGGCTAGGATTGACAAATTCTTGAAGTTTGTTAGAACTTGAACAGTTAGTATCAATGGCATGTCTTTTACTTATTTGCTCATTTGGCTTATTACTCTTCTTGGCTCCCATTGTAGGTTCTTTATCTTCCATGAGTAGAAGCTTTCTGCTGTGCCTGACTGGCATTTGTTCAGAATTTTTTTCCTTTATCTCTTCAATGCTAGAACAACTATCGATTTGTAGTTCGGTATGATTAGGTGGGCTTGGATTTTTATTGACTACTAGTTCAAGTGCATGAATATGCCTGCTAGAAGACTTCCTCCTCAGCCTATACTTTTTAGGTGCTTTTGAATTGTGGATATTTAATTCTAGTTCCATATTACTTATACTGCTGGTTATAGGTTCAGCTTTTGTTCTGAAGGAAGGTTCTTTTTCCAGTGATTCTGTTGGGTTAGGATTTTTTTCTTTCTGAACATAATTACCTTTTGTTTCATTCTCATAACCACTATTAGTAACATTCATCACTTGACCATTCTGCTCCATTTGGTTAGTTTCTTGATTTCTCTTTTCAGGTGTCTTTTGAACAACTGCCAAATCTGCTTTCTTGATAAAATCCTCAGGACGAAGGCCTGATGTAGTTCTCCTTTTACGCTTTAATTTATTTGTGAGGG